GGGGGGGGGCACGGAATGCTGGCCATCTCTCAGCTTGACCACTCCAAAGGAGGAAATGGAGTGGGGTAGAGACTTTGGCTCCCAGGAGGCCCCGTCCACCAAAGAAGCTCTTCAGGTCCCAGGCCCCCAGGGGGCTGTGGGAGGAACAAGGGGGCACCTCCCTAGCTCCTGTGGCCTCTCAGCCCCTCCGGGCCTGCTCCTGAATCCAGGACCAGAAGCTGCTCAGAGACCAGGGAGGAGGCCACGGCAGTTCCTGGGCCTGGAGTCTTAATAGTTGGCAGACCACCTAATTAAGAGATAACGTCAGCAGAGGAACTGTCGGAGGCTCATGGCTCCCCCCTCACCCGGATCTGAGCGTTTGAGGAAGAAGGAAAAAGGCCGAGGCCTTGCCTTCCACAAAGCGCCAGTGACTGTGGGCAGCTTCCAAACCGTCGCCCGAAAGCCAAGCCAGAAGGCACGCGTGTCTGATTAATGCCCAATCACTGCTGGGGCACGTGAGGCTGGAGCCCGGAGACCACAAATGAGAGCGGGCTGCCTCACGCACAGGTGCAGGGGCCCACCCGGAGCAGGCCAGGAGAGATCTGGGCCACGCCAGGCCCCCAGGCCCCCACCCAGGCTCCCGCAGACTCCCTGTGCACCTCCATAAGGGTCCCCTAGCCCCCTCCCCAGTTCCTGCAGGAGTCCAGGCCTGGCAAGGCAGGGCCTCAGAGGCTCCTTGGGGGAGTGTCAGGGTTTTAGGGGGGGTCCTCTGCTTTTCCAACAGCTGACAACATACTTGTATTTTTGTCCGACTGCTTCCCTTCTCCTAGGAGGGTTAGGGAACAAAGAAAGCCGCCACCGGGCTGGGCTTCCGGGGGCCACCACTGACCCGGGGTGACGAGCCACAAAGCCCCCGGGGGCCAACGTGCTGGCCGTGGCAGGCCCCTTCGAAACCAGAGGCTCGGGCTGCCCCTGGCCCCGGAGACTTCCAGCACAGGCCCCATGGATCCCCAGGCACCGAGTGCTCGGCCTGCCCGCGGGGCTGCCAGCTGGACGGGAGGTCACCCGTGGCCCAGCTTCCCTTTAAACCAGGTCGCTTAAAGAGAAATCGAAAGCGGCAGCGGACAGGAGCCAGCTGTCCGGCTATCCAGCTGTCCGGCTGGGGGGAGGTCCTCACGCCCCCCCCCCCCCCCACCCCCCCCCACGCCCCGGCCCACCCGGCCCCGCCCCCCCCCCGCCCCCCCCCCGCCCCCCCCTTACTTTTTGGTGCAGTCCAGCAGGATGCCCGTGAAGCTCCGATCGCCGCAGCTCAGGGTGACCACGAGCGTGTCCACATTCACGATCTGCTCCACCCGCACCGGCAGCCGGCAGCCCACCCGCAGCTCCGGGGCGCCCGGCTCCATGCCGGGGTGCCCGGGGCGCCCGGGGCCTCTCGGGCCGGCTCGGCTCGGCTAGAGCGGGGGCCGGCGCGCTGACGCCATGGCTCCCCGTCGGCCGGCCGGACCGGCGAGGGCTGGGGGCGCTGACGTCACAATGCTCCGCTCCCGGGAACGTTCCGCGATCGAATTCTGCAACAATTGGCCCCGGGTCAGGCTCGGGGAGGGAGGAGGCGCACGAGCCGCGCCTCCCCTCCCCCCGCCCGTGACCCCCACCGGCGGGCCAACGGGGCGCCCGGGACTGGCG